AAAGAGAAGATAAAAGGTAGAAAAAGTAAGAATAACTGAGTATTTTTAAGGAAAAACTTACCAAAAATGGAAAATGTATCAAAGTTTTAAATACATCCCAAAATAAAGAATGTGGCAAACTTCTAAATACGGATGGAGTAATAATTGCTTAACACACCATAAAAAACATCGACATACGCACGGACTTCGCACGGAGTGTGCGAATTTGGCACGGACCGTAACATTATTTTGGCACAACACCGTGCCAAATAGCTGGTGACAAAACGAGATTGGCACGAAATTTGGCACGGCTTTGATGCATCCGTGCCAAATTCGTGCCAAAGACCTTATGAATTTTGCCTAATTCGTGTCAAAACTCCGTGTCAGACCCGAAAGAATATACGGGCATAAGACTATTAAAGGCTGAAGTATATTTTTTCATTTGCAAACACAAATGCAAAAGATGAAGCCACATGACATAAGTAGAACAATGCTCTCAAACATTGGTTGCTAGACATGTTGCATAATAATGGGGTAAAATTGTATTTGTAATAGTATACTCCTTTCTTATATATAAATAGATATCCTCTCTGTATTTAAAAGTTTCCTACACTTTCCTTTTCGGGCTATATTTAAAAGGAATTTTATCAATTCAGGACCCGAAAGATAAACGAATTATCAATCCGGAAACTGAAAGATGAAATGCATTGATATAGGACCGGATGATGAAAAACTACCAATTTAGGACCTGAATGATTGAAAACTGTTGGAATATAATTCCAGCAAGAAAGCTTAATCTATTCATTGATCACGGAAAAACTAAGAAGAGGATTATTAGTCGGGAAAAGCTCCCCTAAACTGAATTACAACTTGCCCTTTATAGGCGTATACAAATCGTAATCGCTATCGATAATAATGTCTAATTAATTAAAACATTAATACGGAATTAAATACATAATTAAACAGCGCATTAATCGTTTGACCGTTACTCTTCTTGATTGGCAGGTCGGTCGGGCTGACAGGCTCCCCGCTGGACTGGTAGATAGGCTCCAGGTTGTGGACTTGGATCCACGGGTCCAAGTTCGGGGCTTGGGCCGATTAGGCTCTGGGCCTAGTCCTATTACTCCATCAAAAACTATCAACCTAGGACCTAAGTTGTCATAAATTTTGTAATTTTTTTATTTTAAAAATTTGAAATATTATTTAGTTTTTTTAAACTAATAAACTTTTGTGAAGAAAAGTTTTTAAAAAATTAGGCATGGAATTAATAAAAAATTAAATAAATCAAAACCTATGAAATGTTAGGTCCTAAAATGATAGTTTTCCATCATTCGGGTCCTATATTGATACGTTTCATCTTTCGGGCCCTGAATTGATAGTTAATCTATCTTTCGGGTTCTAAATTGATAAAATTCATATTTAAAAGTTTTCTACACTTTTCTTTTTTGATAAGTTTTTCCTTTAAAAATACTCAATTACCCTTACTTTTTTACTTTTTATCGTTTCTTTTTTTAATTTTTCACTCTCTCCTACGTTTTCCATGCTAAAATATTGTGCCCAAAGCTAGTGTAGAGATCATTTAAGTACGGAGGGATAACATTTTGACTTTTTTGTGGCAATATATGTTTTTAATTAAATTTTGATCCTACTGAATTAGACACGACAAAAACGAGTTCGGGCGGGGCTGGGGCGGGGCTCGGGCTTCTTATACATTTTTTTGCCCATCTACCACCTCCGATCCGTTTCCCAGTTTCCCACTACACTCCTTCCCAGTTTCACGATCTCGTCACCCCTCTCCGATCCGTTTCCACCTCCGATGCATCCTCTGCTTCCGCTACATCTACCACCTTCCACGGCCTCTGCTACGTTGTCGGAGACAACATCGACACTGACCAAATCATTCCTGCTGAGTACCTGACCCTAGTCCCTTTCCAGCAGGAGGAATACAAAAGGCTCGGCTCACACGCACTATGCGGTCTCCCAGCTTCATACCAAACTCGATTCATAGATCCTGGTGAATACAAATCCAAGTATTCAATTGTTATTGGGGGTGATAATTTCGGATGTGGGCAGTGGCGGACCCAGATATTTGTCAGAACAGGGGCACACTAGACACTAAACTTACTCTATAATAAAGTTTTCAAATATAATAAAGAGGTAAAAAGTAAGGCAATAACATAAATTATACGGAGTGATTTTTTTTTTCTCCAGGGAGTCTGAGGGAGGAGGTCTGGGGGACAGCCTAGAGTAATCAGGGTTGAAACTGATTCCATTGATTTTCAAACCCTTTTGTGGCTAGCAGGATCCGAACTCGAGACCTCCCACTTGGCATGATAATCTCGCAACCAGCTACGCTGGAATGCTTGGTTATTATACAGAGTAGTTAATTACGTATTAAATAGTTCATTTCTACAACTTTGGTAAATCAAGCCTAAGAGTTTTCATATTCTGAAAATGTTGGTAAATCTGTAAGATAATCATCTCCCATCTTATTGCAAAGATCTGTCTTGATAATATTCATCGCAGAGAAGGCTCTTTCAATGGTGGCTGTTGCAACTGGTAATACTAAAGCCAACTCAATCAGACGATATACCAAGTGAAAAAAATTGTGAACTTTAAGCTCAACCATCTATTTGCAAACTTCACCAATAGTCTGTACGGCAGAAAATAATTCATTTGTTCTCATTTCATATATCCACACCTGGAGTTACTCTTTCAGCTCCATTCGATCAACAGATCAGATGAAAAACCGCATGAATATAATTCCGCGAAGTTCAGTAGCTTTGACTCACATAAATTGGAGAACTTATCTCTAGGATCAAGACATGCTAAACCCGATCCTGACAAATATATCATCTCCGAATCTCTTCCCTTCTACCCCATGGAAAAGGTAACACCAAAAGCAAAATGCGGCATCTTTAGAAATGCTATATTCCAACCATTCCCAATTTTTAAACCACTCTGCTCGAAAACATCTCATTTTTTCCCAAATAAAGTTCGTGGAAAATCATAAGACAACGGTTGACAAGCACCTTTAACGACATACGCACTCATCACGGCATCTCTTACTCGAGGCTCATATTCAATGATTGGCTTTCGTGATGCGGGATCGCTAATGATATCCCACTCACACGTACTATCTGTGCGGGCTCTTTTGTCTCCCCTGGTGTCATTAGACCCATCTCGGACAATGCTTACATTCGGAGCAACAACATTTGCATCGCTTGAGATAGACTGATTAGGAACGTTCGAAGAACTATCCCCTCGAGTTAAAGACCTCTTAGTCCAAATTACAAAGTTATCCAAACTCATGTTCTTAATTTATATAACCGTAACATTTTAGTATCTTGATTGTCTAATACTAATAATTTTTTGTACGGGTTGTTGCACTAATTTTACCCGAAGTAGTAGTATTGAAATTTTTGTCCGGAAGCAGGGGGCACCTATTTTACCCTAAGGGGGTGTTTGGTAGAGTGAAAAGTAATTACTTTGCATGCGAAGTGTAAGGACATAAAATGTTTACATTGTTTGGTTTGATTATTTAATGTAAACTGTAGGGCACTTTTATAAAACATTTCACACTGTACCATGTAAAGTATTTTACATGGGGGGTGGGAAAATACTTTGCATGCCTTTTATGAAGCACTGCAACACGACTTTGCGTGCAATTTAAAACTAAATTGCACATCTAGTCAAACAATGTAATCTATTTTACATGCAAAATGATTGCTTCCTTATACTTTACATGCAATCACTTCGCGTGCAAAGATTTAACGTGCAAACTACCAAACGAGCCATAAGTACTAGTAGTGAAATTCTTGGCCGGAAGCCAGGGCACTTGCCCCGGTAGGCCCCCCTAGGTCCTCCACTGGATGTGGGTCCTCTCGTGAACATGCCCCTGTTGGCCTCGGCGCTGCCGGGGTTTCCTCCGTGGTTGCTGAGTCTTATGCCCGTATATATTTTTTCGGAACTCGGTGTCTACAGGGGAAATCTATCCTGTGGAATGCGATGTGAGGATATGTGAGGAGTGTAAGACTGGAGATGTTGTGAGAATTAATGGGAAAGGTATTCAAATAGGAGTCCTGGCATGTATATTTATAATAAAAGAGTTATAAACATACAAGGAAACAAATATGCCTAATATTCTATTACACCCCCTCAAACTGTGCGGGAGATACAACACGCATGTTGTCTATTAAAAAATGAAATTGCTGACTAGAAAGACTTTTTGTAAAAATATCAGTTAATTGAAGTTGTGTAGGGACGTACTTCACGACCAAGTCTCCATGCGCCACACGTTCCCGGACAAAGTGGTAATCTATCTGGATGTGCTTGCTACGAGCATGCTGAATAGGATTAGCAGTCAAATAGGAAGCAAAAATGTTATCACAAAATAACTGAACTGGAACTGTAACAGGAAAACCAAGCTCAAAGAGGATGGTCACCAAATAATTTTTTTTTGCATTAGGCTGGCTGCTAGGTGGGTGAGGCTGGGCGGTTTGGGGGGTTGGGGGTGGGGAGTGGGGGTTGGGTGGGGGTTAGAATTAATTCAAAAAATAAAAATAAAAAATAATAATTAAGGCCCAGCCCGGGTCCGGACCGGAACCGATTCAAACTGGACCGGTACCGGGTTTGATGTTTTTAGACCCGGAGCCCACCCAGTCCCGGCCTGGACCGACCCCTAGATCATACGAGTTAGAATAGAGAATTAGAGTCCAATTATAAATATCATAACTAATTAGTGTACCTCTGAGTCTCAACTCTCAGACAATATTTTTTTGGAAGTAGGGATCAAAGGGAGGTGAGCTATAATGTTGGATGTCAGCTTCATGTCATGATTAAGGGTGAACCCGCTGGCAATCTTGTACAGGAACCGGGATTGGCATCATTTGGCCGGTTCCGGTTCGGTGTCAGTACCTGATCGGATACTCGGCAGGTCCAGTCTTGAGTTACAAGCCGGTTTGGTCCCAACTGTCATTGATTTTTTTGGGAGGTGGGGTTTGTTTGGATTGTTTGGGAGGTGGGGCTTATAAAATACTTATAAATACCAGGAAAAATTCACATTATTAATCCCAACTATTAGACATCTTCTCATATTAATCCTAGGTATGAACTATTCTAATATAATCCAAATTATAGGGAGTGCCTTCCCAAAACAGTCCGCTGACCTGCTTGAACCCATTTGGCAGGTCATCCCGACACATGGCAGTTTTTTATTGGTGTTTTTTTGTTTTCTTTATTTCTGTTTTTTTCTATCCCTCTTTTCTCTTTCTTTTTCCTTGTTGCACGACTCTATCTTCTGCATCCTTCTTCCGTGGTTCTTTTCTTCTCTTATCTTTGCATTAACAGTTCATTATTTTTTTGTCTTTTTTTCTTTCATCCCCTCCTTCATGCCATCTATGGATTTCAATAATGAAATTGGAAAATCCAATTCGAATTTCCCCTTACTTGAATCGGATCTGAATCGGCTTCTAACATGAAAAACTCTACTTGAATTTCACATTTTAAAAAAAAATTCTTCTCCAATTTTGTTTTTCTTCCTTTCGTTGGGGCTGGGGCGTGAAAGTGTTAGGGGATATGAGGATGTCGGTCAGTCCATGTTTCAGAGTCGTCCTCAGACAGACCCAACTGCTCTTCATCGCCAACTGCATCGTCTTATTTGCTCTTCATCGACGTCATCCGTTCGTTCAACCGTCTCCATCTCCGGCCGCATATTATCCCACCCCTATTAATCTTTATTGTCAGTGCGATGAATATTGTTATCCCACGTCTTGTTTTGTTTTACCTATTGTCTAAGTTGCAGGTCATGTGGATCAATTTGGGAAGATTACCTATAAATTTCAGATTATTATAGAATAATGTATATCTGGGATTAATATTGGAAGACCCCGGATAGTTGGGATTATTCTTGTGAATTTTTCCTAAATACCATCTATTTTCAAAATTTTCCTACACCTATTCTCTCCTACTTCTATTCTTTAATTATATCTACTCTCTACTCTTATTCTCTAATTCTCTCTACATCATAATTATATATATTTATATTTAAATATATAATAATAAGAATATATATTAGAGTATTAAATATAATTATACTACTCATTTTATAGTAGAACAGTTATATGTTAAGGAAGGTGTGAGAACAAATATACTCCTGAACTTTTAAAATGTGCAAAAATACCCTTCATGTTCTTATGAATGAGCAAATTTACCCTTATTTACTTGAAATTAATAAAATAAATTTCAAAAAACACCAAAAATAGATTATACATTCGAAATTAAAAAATAAAAAAAATAAAAAGGTAATTTTGTCAAGTTCTCCCTTTTATTGTTTTTATATCACAATTTGATATTGTTAGTATTAAATATTATTTCAAATCTTTACTATATATTTAAGATTTTTTCGAAAAAGTGTTAACATATGTGTTGCAATGTAAAAAATATATTAATTTTTTGCATTCTTTGCACTATAAAGTTATATATTTTGTGTGAGGATATATAGCTCAAGATTACAAAATAGTGAATTTAATTTTACTAAGGTTAAACAAAATCAAAGAATAATATTTCGAAAAATGTAACGATGCGTTCAAAATTTCGCAACAAGACTAAAATTAATATTTACGAATTTTAAATGCTTCATTTACAATGAAAAAATAATAATTTTTCAATTTAAAATTATAGAGTTAATATTTTAGCATAATACTAAATCTTTATTTTTAAAAGGGAAAACTGTCAAATAGGTCCTTAAACTTTCATAAAAATGTCAATTAAGTCCTTCTATAGAAGGTTCTGTCGGCCGTCGCGATTTGGGGAGGTTCCCAATGGAATTATTTGATGAAATTTTTTGAGCATCTTATTCATCAAGTCTAGTTTACGCAAACCAAATTTCAGCTAAAAATCCAATCGGGAACACATTCAAATTAATTCTTGAAGATAATTGCGCATGTTTGCGTTCTCGAATTAATTTGAATGTGTTCCCAGTTGATTTTTTAGCTGAAATTTGGTATGAGTAAACTAGACTTGATGCATAAGATGCTCAAAAAAATTCATCAAAAAATTCCACTGGGAACCGCCCCAAATCGCGACGGCCAAACATAGTCTCCAATAGAAGGACTTAATTGACTTTTTTATGAAAGTTCGAGGACCTATTTGACAGTTTTCCCTTTTTAAAATTTTGAATTTTTAATTTATTTTTGCTGTCGTTTGAAATTTATTTTATCTATTTAAGTCAATAAGGATAAATTTTCCCCTTTATAAGAACATTAGGAGTAGTTTTGCACTTTTTAAAAGTTCAAAGGTATATATATGAACTTTAATATATACTTCAAGGATATATTTGTTTAAAAAAATAGAACATGAGTATATTTGTTCTCACACTCATACTACATGGATATCTTTGTACCTTTTCCCTTATATGTTACTTGTATATAACTGTTCTCTCTCTCTCTCTCAACGACAACATCCAAGCTTTAATCCCAAAAAGTTTTGATGTCGGTTAACATGAATCGATCCATGATGTTGATGCCAAAAGGAGAAGACAGACAAGAAGAAAAAAGGATAAAACGAATATGATACAAATAAATAAATATAAGATAACAATAACATAAGAATATAAGAAAGACAAAAGATTAAAAGATAAAATAACATTAAAAAGGGAGAAGATAAAAATAACATAAGAAATAAAAAAAAGGCAAAGGAGATAAGCGGTAAAAGAAAAGAAAAGAAAAAGAGAGGAAAAATAGAAAAAAAGATCAATCGTCTACACGAATGTGCGCCTTCCACTTTGCACTCTCCAAAGTCATACTCTCATCCAACCCAAGAAGACCAGTTCTGATTCCTCTAATCCAAGCCTGTTTAGGTCTTCTCGGCCCTCTCCTCTCTGTCTCTTCTCCCCACCCCTCAAGTCGTCTAACAGGTGCATCACTCGGTCTTCTACGCACTAGGGCTAATTAATACAATATTAACATGTTGAACGACACAAGGCAAAGACGGTTTTGTGTACAGAAAATAGTAATTATGAAATAATACTTCTTATGTTTTTCCTTAAATAAGACCGATTTACTCCTGTTATGAAACATAAGGAAATTAGCATCCCAACTTTGCCCTCGCACCTATTTTCCTTTCTTTCTCCCTTCTCCTAGCCTCGGATCCATCGACGCATTCACGCTTATAGACTCACATCCACCGAAGCCTTCATTACAACCCCTTCATCGTAGATTCGTCGATTTCTCCGCCTCCACCGCACATGTTGTCTTCGCAGCTTCCTTCTTCATCGTCTCAGCCTATGTCTCCTCCGTCTTCCACCATTTGCTTATCGTCTATTTCTCCATATTTCAGGTCCCCCTCTCTCTCTCTCTCTCTCTCTCTCTCTCTTCCTCCTCTTCTTTCTCTTCCTCTTCCTCTTATGAGTTATAATGTTGATTTTTCTTACTTTCCTCCTATTCCTCTATTTTATGAGTTTTGACATTCATTTTGCTAATTTTCGGACCTCTGTAATGAATAGTGTAAAAAAGTAAGAGAGAAGGAGAAAAAATTTGAAACAGAAGATAAAAGGTAAAAAAAAGTAAGGCTAACTGAGTATTTTTAAGGAGAAATTTACCAAAAAGGAAAAATGTATCAAACTTTTAATACATCCCCAACATGTTGTATGAAAAGTGTAACAAACTTTTAAATACGGAGGGAGTAATAATTTCTTAACACTACCTTAATTATTTTGTGTGTGGGGTTTTGTCAATGGGGTAGTTTGGTTACTGGCGGTTTGCACCCCAACATGTTGCCTATTGTAGCATTTCCCCCTTAAAAGTTGGCATTTTGGATTAAAAAAACAGAGAATATTACCCGAAATAGGACTAAAAAGTTTTGAAAATTCCAAAAATTGGACTATCATGTTTTTATTTCCAAAATAGGACCAATTACTGTCATGTTTTGGAAGTACCACACTTCAAACATGGCAGTATTTTCCAAATTCGGCAGTAGTTACTCCTAATTTGGGAATAAAAAACATGTACATCCTATTTTGAAAATTTCAAACTGTTTTAGTCCTATTTCAGAAACCTTCCTAAAAACAATATCCCAAACAACCCCAATTTCTTTTTTTATGGTGGGAAGCCAAAAGAGAGTCTGTGAGAAGCTTCCAATCCTTCAATAGCTGGCAGTGAGCCCTTTGTGGAAGTGTAATTACTACTCCGTAGTCCGTACATCCCAATTCTGAGTGTTGTTGGATTAATAAGTGTCCAATATTTTGATTTTAATTAATAGCAAAACACTTTTCCCAGAAAATTATGTTAATTAAAATTACAGTAAAACCCTCCCCTCTCCGCGTTGAAAGAAAGACTGGAAACAGCGCAAAAACGCTGTATTGGATTCGTAATTCCAAGCAAACGGACTCATGATTTCAGGGTTGTAGCTTGGGGTGCAAGCTACAGCGGGTCCACTGTCATTTACTAGGCTCAGTTTTCCAGGCTCTGAACCTCCGCGAGTAATAGAACAAGAGATGTTTATAGATTGAATTTAGGAGTAAAAATGTTTTGAATTCCAAAATAAGAGTATTGATGTTTTTTATTCCCTAAATTTCTGCCAAGTTTGCATTATAAAGCTTCAAACATGACAATTTTTTTCCTAAATTACTGATGTTCCAGACCCCGGTTTTCCCCCTATAAACACATGGCCTCTCTCAGTCTCACTCGATTTCTTAGCTAAGTGGAGAACCGAAACTTATCTGCAGAGAGGGTGAAAGACCTTCTCTTTGAGTATAAATGGCTTTGACTCCAACTACTAATTAATGAAGACGGAGACTCTTGGGTGTTTTTTAGGAACTCAGATTGAATAAAAAAGAAATCTTTATTCTTCTTGAATGCTTTATGTATGGGAAGGTAGATTCAAGATTTCAACCTGATGAATTACAGATGAATGCCATTTTATCAGTGTTTTGATTTGGGGGGTTTTGTGGAATAGGAATAAGCAAATGCCGGAGATTGAGCTATTCTGGGATTCTTTTATTTTTGTGATTTATGAAGATTTTCCCTGTTAATTGAATTTGCTTTTTGAAGACCCCTTTATTTTTTAATGCCAAAAGTTAAATTTTTAGCCATGAATTAACAAGTTTATCTTTTTAAATTCTTACGCCACCATAGGTGGGAACCTTTTCGACACCGGGTAATGATGATGGATGATGATGATCTTATTAAAGAATCTTTCTTGAGTTTCAGTGTTCTTTGTTATTGCTAATTCTTAACCAGTTGAGAAACTACATTGCATTGCCATTTTCTTTTCAAATACATTTGATAAACTAGAAAAGTACTTAAGTACTAGTTTATGTATCTCATCGATTGACCTTGAATGGGAATGGGAACTTGACTTCTTACATGTTAAGGCTCTTAGCGGTTGTGATTTATGGGGATGATATTCATCAAGTAATGGGATTGATTGAGAGACTAGGCACATTCTAAAACAGTATTTTGTTCAAACATTCTAAAAATTGATCATAAATGTGGTTTATCAAGAACCCAGTTTACTTTGTTTGTCCAAAAGAGGAAATATTTCAAATCATAAATTTGCATCATAAATTCCTGACCAGTGATGATTCTTGAACTGTAACAGGCCTTGGCTGATTAATAGCAGAGGGCTTGCACAGAAAGTGAGAAATGCATCTGTACCTGATGAACATGGAATTAAAGATTGCTGCGCAGTTACCCGTGAATGTCCAAATTGTCATCACCTCATTGATAACAGAGATGTCAGGATTTCCTTTCCTTGTTTTACATAATCTTTTTATCTGCAAATTATTTTAATGATGAGAGAGTGACTCTTGTTCCGGTTTTGTGATTCAGATTTACCCAGAGTGGCCTGGTTTTCCTGTTGGTGTAAAATTTGAGCCATCTGATGTTGAGATCTTAGAACATTTGGCAGCGAAATGCGGGGAAGGAAGTTCTGAACCACACATATTTCTGGATGAGTTCATCCCGACACTCGAGTACGAGGAAGGAATTTGCTATACTCATCCAGAAAACCTTCCAGGTAAGCCTAACATTGCGTTTCGTGTCTTATTTCAGTTAGAATTATCAAATCATCTCACACTGAACAAACATAAGATGCAATCACATTCTATACAATGGAACCCTCTGAGTCTTAATATAGCAGACAAGCTCCAATGAGTCACCATTGTGGAATCTCAATCTTAATAAAATGTATCGCAACCCCAAGTCTTAATTGTCACCTTAAAATGTTTGGAAGAGCTTGGGTTTAGTCCATGTTGAGTTTTTGACAGTGTTATATCTGTTTACACGTTATGCGATGTAGGGGCCAAAAAAGATGGAAGCAGCATCCACTTCTTTTACCGGACTAAGAAGGCATATGCTATTGGGAAACGAAAGTGTAGAAAGATTACCGACAAGAAGAGTCTGATGATAGAGCATGTTCGTTGGCACAAGACAGGTAAGACCAAAGCTGTGATGGAAAATGGAGTTCAAAAGGGGTGCAAGAAGGTAATGGTACTATATAGGAGTGCCAAGAACAGAGAAAGACCTTATAAGACTAATTGGGTGATGCACCAATACCATCTAGGAACTGACTTGGACGAAAAAGAAGGTGGATATGTGGTCTGTAAGATATTTTATCAACAGAAGCAGAACGATAAGAATGTGGACGACACTCTTCTTCTACCTAATGCTGAATCTGATATGTGGACTGCCCAGGATATTCCAAGGACTCCCATGACTGCAATCCCTAATCCGCCTCATGCTGGACAAACCCCTTCTTGCGATCAGTCCGTAGCTTTGTCGCCTATTGAGGTTTGTCTTGAACTAAATTTTACTCTCAATTTACTCGGTTTATTTAACATTCATATGGATGACTCCAACATTGCAGTAATCAAGTTTATTCTTTTGCTCATCATTTAGAGATCATAATAACATTCCTAATCTGCGTACCTTGTGCTCATTCAGAACACTCGTGTAGTTATGATTACGTGTTCCTAACTTTGACACGGATCGTCTAATAGGGGCGCGCGAGGAGAAAATTTGACCCAAGTTAGAATTCATGAAAATTTGAAAACATATTATGTATAGTATGCAAAAGCTAGTGTTTTGTTTAAAAATAACATAACATTATACTCCGTATAATAGTATTTGAAGAACATTTCCAGGCTAAATTATGTTGAAGAGTATATATGCCACATTGGTTAAATATGAGATAACAAACTAACATATATTTCAAGTATTGATAATATGTATAGTTTTTAGGTATGTATATAAATAAGAATTCATTTGTTCATGCCGTGTAGGGAGTGGAGGTGGCCAAGGAGAGACAATATACATATCCCCAAGATTTTCAAGTCCAGTGTGAAGAGTTAGCAGCATGTTTGGCTGCTGATGACAATGCCATAGATGGTTTCTTGACTTCTGATGAAATTGCCTGTTCTTATAATTTTAACAATCGCCCGTCTAATCATGGCCATTCTGCTAACCTCAATAATCAAATTCCAGAGGGAGATGGCAAAAACTCAACTAGTATTTCTGATCTTTTGAACTTGGAACTGGACAGTCCACCAGAGTTTTCTTTGCAGGATTTGCAATTTGGATCTCAAGACAGTCTCTCTAGCTGGTTAAACCAGATATTCCATTGAGTCGTGTACTTGGAGCAATTAATTTAGATTGTAACATTGATCATTTGGGTGTTGTATGGTCCCATTTGATAAAATATGCAATTAGGAGTGCATGTGTACAAAAATGTGTACAACTTATGTGTACAAGTAGCACCACTCTTAAATTGGATATCAGTTTTTTTTTATCGTAATTGGATATCAGTTTTGTTTTTTGTTTTTTTTTCTGCGTATTTGATACGAGTTTTAAATGAAATTCCCTTAAAAATTGAATTTGTATGTATAATATTTTTAGTAAAAGTCCAAAAAAAAGTATCTAACAAAATGTTATTGGGGGTGTTAGACTGTTAGTTCGGACAGTGGGAATCCTTTATTAGATAAGTGAAGAGTTTAAAACATATTTTTTTCTAAGGGGACGTTTGGTATGATGTAAAATACTCCGTAATTATTTTGCATGCGAAGTGTAAGGACGTAAAATGTTTACACTGTTTGGTTTGATTATTTAATGTAAACCGTAGGGCACTTTTTTAAAACATTTCGCACTGTACCATGTAAAGTACTACGTATTTTATGTGGCGGGGAGTAAAATACTTTGCATGTCTTTTATGAAGCATTCCATCGACTTTGCGTGCAATTTAAAAATAAATTACACTTCTAGCCAAACAATGTAATCTATTTTGCATGCAAAATGATTGTTTCTCTATACTTTGCATGCAATCACTTCGCATGCAAAAGTTTGACGTGTAAACTACCAAACGAGCCCTAAGAGTGCATAACTAGCCTATTTAATTATAGGGCTATGTGTGACATAAATATTAAGTACTTGTCTTATCTAAGAAAGGACTAAGATGTTTAATATCCCAAAGATGAAGGATATCTATTTTAGTTTTGACAAGGAATCCAGCATCAGCATTTAAGGATGCTTTATTCGAAAGAGAAGCGGAAAATACGATATTGGTGGAGCACATGTCCATAGATTAGGATGAAAAGAGGATGATCAAGTAAAGAGAATAAAAAAGATACAAATAAAGAAGATGATAATATGTGATGAGGTAAAATCGTCTTTAGGCGGTTAGGCCTCTCATTAATGTTTGTCACCCCAAAAAAGGGTTAGGGAGGCCTTATTTATAGGAAAAAAGGGGGGAAATATGAATTCGGGCCGATTTAGGATTCAATTTTGTGTAACCCAGGCTACGCACGGCATGCGTGCCCCCCACGCACGGCCGTGCGTTGCTGGCAGTGTCTTCCTTGCTTTCTCGCCTCAGACGCACGGTCGTGCGTTCCCCTACGCACGGCGTGCGTCAAACTTCCGAACTTGGCAAAACTTCCTTCATGAAAGTTGTAGATAATGAAGTCCTCTATCCACCACAACTTGCCGAATGTGATTTGAATCATCTAATCAAGAGATATGATCAAAATGGTGGAAGGGGTCATTCTGAAATCTCAACAGCGATCATCCAACTTCATCGTCTGTTTTCACCTTTTGCCTATCAGATTCTCGGAATGATGTCTTCATATGATTTGTATCCCTTGAAGTTGGCTTTCATATGCAACTTGAATCGTGTCCTTTGGATGCTTCTAAAAGGAGATATGCTTGAACAATTGAAAGAAGGTCATCCTGATCGTCGTTTTCAAGCTCTATTCGTCTTCTTTTGATCTCGTAACCAATTCTAGAGCTCTTTTGTCATCAAATCTTCATCATAAACCTCCCGGTGACCTCCAAAGCTCTCAAATCAATCTCAAATGCTTCTCAAATCATCCCGATTGTTCCTCAAGCGCCAGTATCAGGCTCAAATTTCTTGATTTTGACTCCAAATGCAACAAAACTCGACCCAACGCCTGGTAAACACAACTTGAACTAAAATTGAGACTTGCAACGACTTGAAACAAGATAAATCATCAAAATCCGACCCCAACACGCATCAAATGTGTGTTGTAATAGGAACTTATCAAATATGTTGTTAATTGCATGTCATTCTTGGATGTGAGACTAATACCTGCTAGGAAAAAGAAGACGAAGAAAGGTGGACCAGATGGCCTGATCTCCAATAGGCTTCCATTCTAGGAAGCATTACATCACTTAGAGGGATACCAAGTGGCCTTGTATAAATCATTTTTTCTCAATGCTTCCTTTTTCCTTTTTTATTATTAGTATACACTCTCTTTGAATAAATGCCTAACATGTCTATCATCTCTCATTCTTTCGAGTGGCAGAGGAATGAAAAGAATGCTTGTTTGCTTCTTATTGGCTGCATATTCTGATTGATTAGAGTTTAAAAAAAAAGGAAAGGTATTTACAATAGCCAATCAATGTTGTATGACATCTTTTCATGTCTGTTAAAATGTGTGTTAGAGCATATTCATTTCACATGCATAGAGCTTAACATGCTAGTATTTATACAAAATGGTTTAAGGGAGAAGATTGAGATCGTTAAGAGAAAAAGGCGGCATCTTCTGATCTAGGATTCCTCACAGGAGGGGATAGATATTTTTCATTTAGATGTTAACTAAAGATCGCTTGTTATGATGTGTATGCAGGGATAAAAGCAAGAAATTCATATTCATTTAGGGGTGAGTTTGTTCACTGTAAAGTCAGACAATTTCAGTCTTTTGGAAAATTACAGGAGCAGAGCACCAAATAAGATGGAACACGGTAAGTATTCCATCCTTCACTATATTTTGATTGATTGAATCCCACTTTAGTTTTTCACCGAAAACATGTTCTTTTGTTTTGAATAATAATTTGCTATATAGCAGAGATCTTTTCTATCATTCTTATATTTTCTGATACTTTTCATTTGGGCTGTCATTAAATCTTGTAAAGTGAATTCATCCATGAACTACTTGTATCTGATATATGTTATTTTGGCTTCATCTCTTACATGAATGCCCCCTCTCCAATATCTCCATTATTTTTAATTTGAAGTTATGTTTAGGATGCAGTTCATGTTGAAAAGTTAGGAGTCATCAAAGAATGTACTCCGTATTTGATTATTAATGTAAAAGTAAACTTCTTCAGAAAATTGCAGTTATATAGACCCAAATCCTCTATGTCAGCCTCTTTTATCCAGTTTTTTCTTTTCTTCTCACTGTTTTCCCCCAGTTTCGTTTTTTTGCACTTCTTAGTTCATATAGTGGCAAAAAGTAAATAAACATTTAAATACTTTAAAAACAACAAAGCGGCAAACACAACTACTCTTTTGTCTCGTTTTCATCAACTATTAAAACTTGCATGAAAATTATAGCTATATCAAGTGTTATTGTAGCAGATAGATTTTGTATGTGAGTTTTTTCCGTTTGCATTGAAATATTTATTTGCCTCATGGACTACTTGTCAGTATCTACTACTTGAAGCCTCACATACAATCTATAAGAGCTTTTTTCATGTGTACAGTTTCAATAAATCAATTGGATGTATTGTATACCAGCCACTTAACTCTATAGATATTTTAGCATTTTTTACACCATTGCATGCAGGCTTGATGAAGTAAATCAATTGCGCAAAATATGTCACTTGTAATGTAATGTTATGTAACTAATAAATTCATAGTTACATACATAGCTGATTGAAGTGATGTGAACTTTGTAATTGTAGGTTTTCAAGATTTGATCTCATATCTAGCAAATCAAAGTTCTTCATTTGAAATATTGTTATGCATATGGAGACAATCAGACATGGAGGGATGCAACTTGGAAAACGCTCTACGCATTCTACTTCAAATGCAATCATAATTCCACTATTATTACTCGACTAATGTTACAAAAAGACTTGTATTCCATTTATATTTCTGTAAAAAAATCAATATTGTTACTTCAAGCTAATTTTATTGACTTGTTACAAAAAGACTTGTATTCCATTTATATTCCATAGTTCCATATGGAGTATGAATGTTATTGACTCTAGAAAAAGACTCGTATTACTAATTTTGAATGATTTTTTTTAATTTTAATTGCAACTTTTAATTCTATTTTGGATTGTGGGTGGTTGTAAATTATTTCATAATTATTTCTATATAAAATAGAACACTACCAATGGTATATCTAGTGATGCTATAGCATAAAATTATATAAAATTGCTCCAAGCCTATACCAATGGGTAAATGTAATTACTAACGGTCACTATTTTGTTGGTATAAGTTAATGAGCTATTCCGACAGTAAGAAAATGTGTTGGTTTAAATCTATACCTACGAGACGTATATTGACACTCAAAATTTCGTTGGAATTGCATAAATTTCCGTTGGTATAGCTAAATAATGTCTATTCCTGCGGTTTACATGTCTATACCAACACTTTTGTTATTGTTGGTATATGGCAATTTGTTTGTAGTGGCAACAAAAGTAGTCAGTCAGAAAAGCAATAAAAATTTGGGGGAAAAGGTGCAAATAGGCCCATGTACTAACAAAAAGGGTCAAATAAGCCCTTATTTAGGAGGCTCCATCCGGCCGTCTCCATTTGGGGTGGTTCCCGGTGGAATTTTTTGATGAAATTTTTTGAGCATCTTATTCATTAAGTCTAGTTTACTCATACCAAATTTCAGCTAAAACTTCAATCGGGAAGGCATTGAAATGAATTCTTGAAAATAACTGCGCAGTTAGAAGCGCAATTATCTTCAAGAATTCATTTGAATACCTTCCCGATTGAAGTTATAGCTGAAATTTGGTATGAGTAAACTAGACTTGATAAATAAGATGCTCAAAAAATTTCATCAAAAAATTCCACCGGCAACCACCCGAAATGACGACGGCCGGACAAAGCCTCCTAAATAAGGACTTATTTGACCTTTTTTTGTTAGTACATGGGCCTATTTGCACCTTTTCCCAAAACTTGGCAATAAAATAAATGTATCCGAAGTAAACAAAACAAGGAACTAAACACAACTTAGCCACGGTTTAAACAGCCCCGCCCATTATGAATTAAATAGATTATAGTTTTTATTTTCTTTTGGAAATATATTAAATGTGTCCATGTTAGCATTAATTAATCACTACAACTTATTATACCAAATAAAATTTAGTCAACAATCAGTTTTTTATCAAACAACTACTAGGTTAGCCTCAGAGAATGAGAGGCAGTATTATTCAAGAAAAACATAAAAATAAATTCCTTAAAATGTAGCATAACTTAGAGCAAATTTAAAATTTTAATAATATAAGATCATAAATTAATTTGTAGAAATTTTTCATGTGTCTATAAAATATTTAGCATTATGAATCACTTACTTTAAATAGAAAACTCAATTTTTTTAACTACTAAATAAAA